TTCTCGGTTCATGTACCGTGAAGCCTAGCTTGAAGAATTTTGAGCATTACCTTGATAGCATGTGGAATGAGCACATTGCCCAAGTAAGTGACATCATACAGGATTTGTCTTTCTGTCTGACTTATTTCACTACCCATAATATTCTCTAGATGCTGAGAAGATTTTACCAGCACCGCCTAGGTGATAGGTTTTTTTTCTCCTTTTATGGTCATGCTATGTGGCCTACGGGATCTTAGTTTCCCCAAGCAGAGATCGCATCTGCGCTTCCTGCAGTGGAAACATGGAGTCTTAACATTGGACCACCAGGGAAGTCCCTGGTGGTGGAATTTCTTTTGTAATCTACATCTCTACAGAACTTGGGCTTTTGCATGTGGTTTCATCTGTAAAAATATTACAAATGGCTAAGATAGAAAAAGAGATTGATTAACTCTGGCAGTGATTATCATGATAGGAAATATATAAATAGCATTTAGTGCATTTGAATGTATTTCCTACTTTTTTGCCACTTTAAAAGAGATGAACCAGAAACCCAGCCTGAGTTCTTTACTGCAGTGGACTTACTGGGAGCCTGACTCCCACAGCACTGCAGACTTAGTGGGGCCAGAGGCTTGGAGACAGTCAGTTAGGCAGGAGCAGGTCAAGCATTGCCTAAGGATGCTTACAAAGTGCCTTTCAGTTGAACAACAAAAATAAGTAAACAAATAATCTCATGAAGGGAAATTGGGAGTTGTTACACTCTGAGGGTTTGTGGTCTCCTTCAACAAGCTCATGGCCGATGCCAGATTTCCTTCTGCATTTCCTAATCCTCCAAGAGATGAGGGGTCCTGCCTGAACTGGAGAAGGCACTGCCATTGTGATGGGGCTTGGTTCGCTCAGGCCCGGGAACAGCAGGCTCTCATCTCTTATCCGACTCACACCAGGCTGGCTGCTCTACACTTATGTGTTAACAAGTTATCAACTTAACAGTTTCTAGGCATCAGTTCCGTGCCGGACTCTGTGCTAGGGGCTCTTTTTAGAAAGGTGACTAGGAGGTAGTCCTCGCTTTCAAGGGGTTAGCAGAGTTCGCAGGTAAGTGTGTGAGACGCGTGTGCAAACAGGTCATTGGAACAGGGCGTGCTGAGTGCTGCCCTGGAGGAGCGTGGGAGCACCGAGAAGGGCCGGCCGCCCGGTGCCCTCGGGGGTCAGGGAAGCCTTCCCCGGTGAGGCGGGGCGTAGATCTGAGGGATGAGGGGTCACGTGCTGGACAGAGACGTGAGAGAAAGACATCCCAAGAGAGTTTACATTTACTGGTCTCTTACCAGGATCCAGGCACTGTTAGGTACTTCCAGGTAAATACTGCCTTTAGTCATCCTAGCAGTCCTGTGGGGTAGGTTTTATGTCCCCCATCTTTATATACAAGGAGACTGAAACTTAGAGGGTTACAGGAAGCTGCCAAAGATGGCATTGAAGCAGGGTCAGAACTGGAATTTGGAGCCAATCTGGGGAGAGGCCAAAGCCATAGTCTTTCTGCCACAACCGCTGCCCTTAATGTCTGCACATGTCATGGAAGAGCAGCGAGCAAGTGCTGGAAAACGAATCTGAAAAGGTAGCCTGAAGCCAGGTGGTCAGGGGCCGCATCGGCTGTTCCTTCCCTCCAGAGGTGCTGAGTAAACACCCACTGTTTTCCAGACACGAAACAGAGATGTGCTGAGTCCAGGCCCCGCCCCTTGGGGCTCACTGTCTGGCCGTGGGGAGCTGGAAGGACTTCCCTTTTCTGGCATTGAACCTGAATAAGGTCCTTTTGGGAAGAGAAGGCAAAAGCTCCATCAGCAACCAGGGTGGATTAGTTGCTCTGCTGAAAATCTAGGCAATGATTCCACGTGTAAGCAATATCATATGATATTTGTTTTTCTCTGTCTCACTTCACTCAATATGACAGTGTCTAGGTCCATCCAGGCTCCTCTGTCCATAGGATTTCCCAGGCAGGAATGCTGGACTGGGTTGCCATTTTCTTCCCCAGGGAATTTTCCGGACCCAGGGATCAAACCTACATCCCCTGCCCTGCAGGCAGATTCTTTTACCACAGAGTCATTTCACTTTTTTTTTTTTAATCTCTGAATGAACACATCTTTATTCATTCTTGTTGATGGACATTTAGGTTGCTTCCATGTCCTGGCTGTTAAAAATATACACTCTACGGTATATAAAAATAGATAACTAGTAAGGACCTACTATATAGCACAGGGACCTCTACACAATACGCTGTAATAACCTATACAGGAAAAGAATCTAAAAAAGTGGATATACATATACGCATAACTGAATCACTTTGCTGTACAATAGAAGCTAACACATTTAAAATCAACTATATTCCAATAAAGATATGTGAAAAAAGAAAATCTGGGCAGTGGGCAATCATTAGACACGTTTCAGAGGAACCATGACCCCTCGTGATTCAGAACCATGGAGTGAAGACCCTGTCCCTGTTAGGATTTGGTGATGGACTGTCGCCACAGCATGTGTCCGAGGGCTGTGATCGGACGTGTTTGGCATAGGGTCACTTCCTTAAGTGGAGAGCAGAGGCATTTCCAGCAGAGAGTCAGAGTCTGGCTGGAAAGTGTCTCTTCAGGCACACTTGGCAGAGAGAAAACGTACTTGCCAGAACCATGGTGACTGCCCCTCCTGCCTTCCCCTTTCCTGGGTGGGCCTGTGCAGCCCTTACACGCAGCTCTGCCACCACCTTGGTGTGGCCACCCTGCACATTCTCTGGCTAAAACACTTAGATTTGCTACGTTAGGTAGTGTGCGTATTAGCTTGAATGACAATCATCAAACCCTGTTGGATTTTTGTAGCACAGTGTCTTCCAAGAGTTGAAAGTCTCCTTCATGCTTTTATTCTACTTTATTGTAAGTACAGCTCTGTGAACAAGAAAAGATAGATTTTTTTTGATTCTCATTTCATTGACATGAATAGGGAGATGTGGAGGTTATAAGACTTGTCATTGCAGAACAGTGTTTTTCCCTCTGCTGTAAAATGGGGGAGACTTTAGGAGGGTGGTACTTGGTTTGTTCTTTAGATTTTAGCTTTTCCATGAGTATCAGGGACTGTGGAACCCTTGGAAGAAGTATCTGCCCAAATGGAATTTACCCCTGCCTGCACTCCCTACCCCATCTAAGTTTGATCTTCCCTGATCCCAGCCTGCCTTATTGAATTCATTTTCCTAGAATTAAGAACCATGGACATATAGGCTTCCAGAAAAGTCTCCGAGAAGTTCATTTCACTGAAATGGCAAGAACTGATGAGCCGATAACTTCCCCACCAGTTATTCACTCAGTGTTTATTAGGTGCCAGGCATACGCATACGGTAGTATACGTACATTAGCTAACTTAATCCTCATAGAAATTTCATGAGGTGAGTTACTATTATTAACCCCCTTACTTTTTAAAGATTTTTTTAAGGTGGACATTTTTAAAGTCCTTCTTGAATGTGTTGCAGTATTGCAGCTGTTTTAAGTTTTGCTTTTTTGGCCACTGAGGCATGTGGGATCTTAGTCCCCCAATCAGGGATCAAACCCGCACTCCCCTGCATTGGAAGGTGACGTCTTAACCACTGAACCACCAGGCAAGTTCCTTAACCCCTTTTTATTTTTTGTTCTCTTTTCTTTTTTTTTTTTCATTTATTTATATTAGTTGGAGGCTAATTACTTTACAATATTGTAGTGGTTTTTGCCATACATTGACATGAATCAGCCATGGATTTACATGTGTTCCCCATCCTGAACCCCCCTTCCACCTCCCTCCCCATCCCATCCCTCTGGGTCATCCCAGTGTACCAGCCCTAAGCACTTGTCTCATGCATCAAATCTGGACTGGCGATCTGTTTCACACTTGATAATATACATGTTTCAATGCTGTTTTCTCAGATCATCCCACCCTCACCTTCTCCCACAGAGTCCAAAAGTCTATTCTGTACATCTGTGTCTCTTTTTCTATCTTGTATATAGGGTTAGCATTACCATCTTTCTAAATTCCATATATATGCATTAGTATACTGTATTGGTGTTTATCTTTCTGGCTTACTTCACTCTGTATAATGGGCTCCAGTTTCATCCATCTCATTAGAACTGATTCAGATGAATTCTTTTTAATGGCTGAGTAATACTCCATTGTGTATATGTACCACAGCTTCCTCATCCATTCGTCTGCTGATGGGCATCTAGGTTGCTTCCATGTCCTGGCTATTATAAACAGTGCTGCGATGAACATTGGGGCACACGTGTCTCTTTCAATTCTGGTTTCCTCGGTGTGCATTCCCAGCAGTGGGATTGCTGGGTCATATGGCAGTTCCATTTCCAGTTTTTTAAGGAATCTCCACACTGTTCTCCATAGTGGCTGTACTAGTTTGCATTCCCACCAACAGTGTAAGAGGGTTCCCTTTTCTCCACACCCTCTCCAGCATTTATTGCTTGTAGACTTTTGGATAGCAGCCATTCTGACTGGCATGTAATGGTACCTCATTGTGGTTTTGATTTGCATTTCTCTGATAATGAGAGATGTTGAGTATCTTTTCATGTGTTTGTTAGCCACCTGTATGTCTTTTTTGCAGAAATGTCTGTTTAGTTCTTTGGCCCATTTTTTTTTTTATTGTAACCCCTTTTTAAAAATAAGGAAACCAAGGCTTAGGGAAGCTTAATATGTCCTCTTTCTCTGGGGTATTTGCATTTAAACAGTGAACACACAAGCCTGCAGCCGAAAATTGAATTTGCTCTTGAGAAATCCCAGGCGTCATCTGGGCATTGTGGCTTAAATCTTTGAATTTTTGAAAAATGTTGGCATTGGATCCTCTGACCTTTTAGTTAAAGCATACACTGGTTAGTCATCTGGGAGGTTTGTGGGATCTCATAAAACACTGAGAGCTTCATTTTGGCCATATACTTACAACTTCTTTGTGCAGTGTCACTGTGAACTCATTTACTTACCGTGGATTCATAACAAAGTAAAGTAAGTTTTTCCTTTTGTAGACATTTGCCTGAAAAAGTTAAGGATGACCAGCAACTGAAGAATATGAGTGGCCAGTGGTTTTATGAAGCCAAGGCAAAAAGACACAGAGACAGAATCCATGGTGCAGATATCATCAGAGCATCCATGAGGAAGAAGAGGCCCCAGGTGGCAGGTAAGTTGATTGGGCTAGTGCCTCTCAAGCCAGCATTTGTTTGGGAGAAGTAGTCCTTGGGAGAAGGGAAGGGTGTCACCATCATTACTGAAATGTGCAGAGGGAAATCATTTAGGGCTGTGCTTTGCATAATGTGTGGTCCTGTAGGTCAAACTCTTCTTGGGTTTGGATGGATGAAGTCAGGGCTAAGTGACAGTGTGGTAAAGAAGGACAAAGAAAGCCCTTTAGCTGCCATATTGACTCAGAGTAACATTGACAATTGAGGCTTATAAGGAGTGTGTGTGTGTGTGTGCGCGCGCGCTCTGTCATGTCTGACACTTGGATGATAGCCTACCGGGCTCCTCTGTCCATGGAATGTTCCAGGCAAGAATACTGGAGTGGGTTGCCATTTCCTACTCCAGGGGATCTTCCCAACCCTGGGGGATCAAATCTACATCTCTCGTGTCTCCTGCATTGGCAGGCAGATTTTTCTTTTTTCGTTTACCAGTGTACCACCTGGGAAGCTCTTATCAGGGATCTACCATCTCCTCTCTCTTTGGCTCTTAACTAAAAATTCAGAACCTTTTCCCCTGAGTAGAGTAACAGGAAGAGATTAGCCTTTCTGCTCAATGACCGTGGCACCTGGTACTTCTTTAAAAACCAAGTACATCGTTTAAGGGACTGTAGACAGCATTTTGGAGGCTTCTTTAGAATTCTGTTGAGTTCATTAAATATTTACCAGGTGCCTTCTCTCTAATTAACTCCGCACTAGTCAGTGTAAACCTTTACCCCTAAGAACTAGCCCCTGTCTAGTTCTAACCTGTTCTCAATAAGGAAATTACCTCTTCGGCATCTAATATATTACAGGCATTTGTTCCCTAATATTTCTAATTGTAGTAGCAATCTTGTAAGGTAGGTCTTATTATCCTCATTATATATATGCAATATGTAAAACTCAGAGAAGTGAGGTAACTTGCCTAAGGTCATCAACGGGCTATGAGCACTGCATAGCTCATCGTAAGGAGTCAGCCCCCATCTATAAGGAGCGTGGCTCTACATCAGAAGGGCTGAAATCCCAGCTCTGACATGCACCCTCCTAAAACCCCCCAGAACTTCATAAATCTTGAAGCATCCTGTGGGTTATACCGAGGGCTCCATTTTGCAGCTATAGAAAGTAGACTTATGAGTAGAGAGACCTATGAATGTATTTGAAAATTGGGAGTCCTCAGTGGCTCAGACAGTAAAGAATCTGCCTGCAATGCAGGAGACCTGGGTTCAATCCCTGGGTCAGGAAGATCCCCTGGAGAAGGGCATGGCAACCCACTCCAGTGTTCTTGCCTAGAGAATCCCATGGACGGAGGAACCAGGCAGGTTACAGTCCATGGGGTGGCAAAGAGTCAAACATGACTGAAATGACTAAGCACATGTTGCTTCATCTTAATTCTTAACACTGATGGAAATATTACTGGCGCTGCCTGGCTATGTGGCCTTAGGCAAGTCTCTTGATCCCTTTGGTCTTCAATTTTGAAATCTGTAAACTTGGAAAATTTTTACCTCCTCAGAGGATTATGCATGCAAGGGACTCAGCACTTTGCCTTGAACTTAGTCATCGCTCAGCTGATGCTAATTATCCAAGAGGTACAGGTAGAGAGCAGTGGGTGTTCAGAGGCCAAAGAGATTATTTCCTGAAGAGGGATCACAGAGGTTTTAAGGGGGCTCTGGCATCTGAGCTAGCATTTGAGAACTTGTAGAATTTGGCTGTGTAGAGACTGCAAGAGGAGGAGGCAGAGGAGAGGAACATTCCAGAATTTAGAGCTGATGTGAGAAGCTGTAGGTTGTGGAGAAGACAGATGGATAACCTTCTTGCCTTCATTGTTTCCTGTTTCAGATGAGCAGAGTAAGGACAGAGCAAACAGGGCAATGGAAAGCTGGGTGAATAACGTCCACAAGGATGCTTTCCTCCCCCCAGAGCTAACCGGTGTTGTAGAAGAGCCAGAAGAAGATGTAGCCCCAGCAAGCCCCAGGTGAGACCGAGCTAACGGGGAGAGCTGCTGCATGTGGGGGTCCTGGCTAGGTCCTGCTGTGTGTGTGCGTGCAGAGGCCAGTCAGGTCTCGTGGGTGTGGAGAGGAGGGCAGGATGAGAGAGTTCTGAGCCCTGATATGAACAAAGCCTGAGCAGTATTCTTTCTCAGCTTCCAGAATGTCTAACAAATCTGCATATTAAATAAAATTAAAATGTCAAGTGGTGATTTCTTCCAGCACCAACTAGAGCTGTTATTTTTTTTTTTCCAGTTGTTATTTGTGCTAAGGGTTTCTTCACAGAGTAAATAAAAAGGTACTCCAAAATGAATGTAGAGGAATAAGTCATTTAAGAAAGAGATGAATGGGGAATTCATGAATTCCCTGGCGATCCAGTGTTAGGACTTAGTTACTTACACTGCTGTGGGCCCCGGTTCCTTCCCTGGTCGGGGAACTAAGATCCCCACAAGCTGCACAAATGTGGCCAAAAAAAGAGAAAGAAATGAATGATGATCAAGTTGTTACAGCCTGGAGCAATAGAAGAAATTTAAGCACAAAAAGCAAGCAGACGTGAATTCCAATCCTGAATTTGCCATTTATTAGCTATTTGACCATGGGCAAGTCATTTAATCTCCCTGAATCTCTTTTCCTAACTATAGATAGGAGTCATACTGTATGAGACAGTTTCTGATGAGAATTAGTACATAAAATACCTGGTACATGGTAGGTACTGAATAGACGCCTCTTAAGGATGCTGATTGTCCTCAATATTTCAGTCTTGCTTTTGTGTGTTTTCCATTTATCTTATCACCTGACCAATCAAAATGCACATTTGTATATCCTTCCTATGATATAGCTGATTATGAGGCTATGTTGCCTCCAACTTTTTCAACCAAGATGACTTGTTTTTAGATATTTAAGGATCTTCCCATTGGTATCTGTCCATTGGAGGTATAGTTGTTACCCTTTGGTTGACGGGCAATTACATTTTATCTCTAGTTCCTCAGTGAAGACAATTGAATCAGAATCTCCAACTGCAATGAAGTCAGTAAATTTGCTGATGGGACAGTCACTGAGTCAGGGTCCAAGGCTGAGAGACCTGGGAAATGGGGATGTTGTTATCAGTGTAATTTGTGGGTGAGAGAGTGGGTCTATTCTATAGGCACCAACAGGCATTTCAGAGTCAAATATAAGTATTATGTTATATGGATAATGGAATACTGAGTCTATTAAGGTACCTGTTGTTTATCCATTTCCCGTTTAGAGAGGACTCACTTTGTTTTCTAAGGTGGTAGGTGGCACCATATCCCTCCTGCTCCCACCCAGGATGGTCTGTGATGTTCTATCAAGACCCTGATGCTGGGAAAGATTGAAGGCAAAAGGAGAAGGGGGTGGCAGGGGATGAGAAGCTGGTTAGACAGCATCACCAACTCAATGAACATGAGTTTGAGCAAACTCCAGGAGAGAGTGAAGGACTTCCTTTCCTTTTCCCAGGAACTCATTTCATCTTCAATGGCCTAAGGGACCAAGGTGCCATGGCCCTTAGAGCTTGACTGAGTTTCCTTACAACCACATGGCCTGGTGGGTACCCACCTACCTTTCCCAATTTGAGGCTGTGAATAGTGTCCACATTTGTGTCTCTGTTATTGGTTACATTTCTTGGATGACCTCAGACACATCTTTGAGATTTCATCTGTATGTACCACAGGACCAAACTGTCTCACCAGGGTGATATGAGATGAAATGTAACCAAGAGGTACCAAGAGGTATGGGTACCACTTGGCATTTCTCAGGAAGAAAGAAAATTGGCAATCTGCAGGTGGCCTTATATTAAGTTGGGAACCCCTGATGGCTCAGATGGTAAAGAATCTGCCTGCAATGCAGGAGACCCGAGTTCAATCCCTGGGCCAGGAAGATGCCCTGGAGAAGGGGATGGCAACCCACTCCAATATTTTCACCTGGAGAATTCCATGGACAGAGGAGCCTGGCAGGCTACAGTCCTGGGGTCACAAAGAGTCGAACATGACTGAGCAACTTAACATGTTATTATAACACAGATGAGGTAGGCCAAGAAGACAGGAAGAAGCATGTTTGATGTGTCCGGCATACTTTGCTCGTTACGTGATGTGAGCGGTGAGCACCCAGAACTGTAGCAGGAGCTGTTATTTACTTCTTTCTCTCTGTGTCAGAAACTCCTGCTTTACTCAGCGTCAGGTTCCAACATGCTTCTCACTGATTCTTTAACCTTTGGGAACTGGGTGTGTGAAGTATATTTTGGGGCCTGTACGTTTAGACTAAGTGAACTTCAATAGAATGACTCAATACCTGTCAATATTTTCTTAGTCAGGAGTCCGGGAGCATGAGGCAATCCTGACTGGGTATTGCAGTTTCTGAAGGATTTTTTTTTTTCCCCTAATAAGCTCTGGGGAAAGAGTCCTTCTTCTGTTGTGGGCACAATTCTGAGCGCTTCTGTTTGTGAGTAATTAACTTACTGTGGGTATTCAACGTGTATTCAAGCATGAGAAGCTACCTACGTTCCTTTGGAACTGGTCTTGTTTGCATCTGTAGCCTGAGGAGGCAGAGAGGGCTCTGATAAACAGAAGGGAGCAGGGGATGAGGTTCTCTTTCGAGAGGCAAAGAAAACTCCAGGCGCGCTCAGCTCTGGTTCTGGCTACTGGTCTTCAGCAGGGTCGTACTGGCACCAACAGTGGTGAAGGACTGGTGTTTGGGAATTAAGTGTTTTTTACTTCTAGTTATCACAGATTGAGCCCTTTAATAAAATATAATAAAAATGAATACTCAGAACGTGAAATACAGATAACAACAAGGGCATGCAAAACATAAGCCCACTGATGGTGTACTGTGGTGTCTCAGCAAATTGCTGTAACTGATTCCAAATGCATGCTCTTGATGTCTGTACCTGTTGTAAGCCAGTAACACACAGTTCACATACTGGCACTGGTACAATGGTCTGCACTTTGATAGCACATCATGTCTCTCCCCCCAGATAATTGTGGGACAGGCACACAATAATCCCCCAGACATGGCTGAGCCATGATGGGGAGCAGAGGATGGAAATGTGAGAAATTTCATGTGCGTCAGATCCTGCCTCCCCAACCAGGATTAATGTGTGTTTCCTGGTTATAGAGGTAGACCTGCTCTGGGATGAGAAGTCCCTCCTTTATTATTTGAGATGACATGTTCTGTGAAAAAAAGTTTGGGTGCTTAGGGAATCACGGAGAGTCTGGTAGCCTCTCGACTGACCAGGGCCTTACCTGTCCCCACTATTGGTGCTACTTTGGTCTGAAAGAGCCCAGAAGTGGACTGACCTTTTTAGTTCCCCTCTGTCTCTCCAATCTCTTCCACTAAGACTATCTTTCTGAGGACTGGTCCCTCTGGTAGCTTATATCATCTTGGTTGAAAGTAAAAAGTGAGAGCGTTAGTTGCTCAGTTGTATCCAACTCTTTGAGACCCCGTGGACTCTAGCCTGCCAGACTCCTCTGTCCATGGAGTTCTCTAGGCAAGAATGCTGGGATGGGTATATGGCCACAAACAGGGTCAGCCCAGACCTCTAAAAAAATGAAAAACAAAAGCAAGAGTTTCTCAAGTGTGTTCTAAGCTTCCCAACTCTTTTCTTCTCGGGTTTCTCCTCCCACACTCTGCCCTCCCACATCCTTCAGTTCCCTTGTGGCCTCCTCCTTTCACCTTGGAAAGGTTCTAACGTGCATTCTACCCCCTACTTAAATTTTTAATAACTTAAGCCAATGTGGATGAAAGTTTTGAGCTTCTTTCCTTTTCTTGGTTGTTTCCAAAAGCTTAAAGAATTACCCTGAGCATGTATCCTGATAAGGTTCAGAACCTTCAACCCAGAAAGCAAGTTCCTAGGTGCAAAGGCGGTTACTTTATAGAGACAGTGGGCATCACATGAAGGAAGTGGTAGCCTCCTCTGACTGTGAATAAACCAGTCCTAGTAACAGATGACAGTCACTAATAGGTCAGTGCCTGCTATTGTTGGAGCAGAAGTAACGGGGGGTACTGTGTGCCAGCCTGAACCACAGGCAGAAGAAATAGGAAACCACTTGAAAGGCTGTCTAAGAGTGAGAGGTAGAGAAAAATAGGACAAAGAGAAAGAGGTATGAATAGTGAGGATAGAGCCATTAATGCCTATGTTGGCTCAGTTTACTTTTAGGATATTTCTTGGAAATAAAGTGTTTAAATATCCTTGTTCACAGTTGATTGAAAAACGCTAGCACCTAGTAGAATAAATCATTCTGTAGGGTTACAAATTCCTTCTCCGTGTAGTCGTTCGGTCAGTTGGTCAACAGTTGTTGAGTATTTGTTGTGCACAAGATGGTAGCTAGAAATTCAAAGTGGAATAAAATATGATTCCTGTCCTTGAGGAACTTATTCCAGAAATAATTATATTTAAGGGATTTCTTGAAGGACAAGAAGGATTCTGTTAGGGAGATGATGAGAGAGGACAGGACAGACAGAGGGGATGACGTGTGAGTCTGGATTGGCTTGGCATCTGGAAGGGTCTAACATAGTGGATGTATTGCAGTTATCAATTGCTAGTTATCTCTTGAGTGTTCTATCAACACTTCAAATTTCTTCTGAACTTATCTCTAAAATTCTGTTGTATGTTTCCTCTTTTCTCCATTCCCTTAATTAGGATTTCACCATCTCTCACCTAAATTTCTGTTATAATGTCCTTATTGAATTGAACCTGTTGTATACACAGTTACCAAATTGTGACTCTAAAAAGTAAACTGGATCATAAAGTCATTTGGTGGTTCCTTGTGACTTAAAAGTGAGTCTAGCCTTTTGGTCAACATTCAAGGCTCTTCACAGTCTGGTTCCAACTACTACTTTTAGCATGAGTGCGTGTGTTAGTCAGTTGTATTCGACTCTTTGTGACCTTATGAACTATAGCCCACCAGGCTCCTCTGTCTATGGAATTCTCCAGGCAAGAATACTGGAGTGGGTAGCCATTTCCTTCTCCAGG